CCTACTAGTAAGGCACTTGTTACTAGAAGCGATGCACTTGTTCCTACTAGCCCACGGAACTGAAGAGTCCGCCGAAGCGGCGAGGTGATGTGCATCCACCCAGCGCAGCGGACTTGGAGGCGCTGTTTGGCTTGCGTGGGAGACAGGGCGGCGGCCGCCACTGGAGTGCCAGGAAGTTCCCACCTGTTTGGTATTTGGACCAAAAACTCTTGCATGATTGTAGCTTCTTGCTACTAGTAGTATGGCCAGAAGCTACTAGTAGTTTCTTACTCCGTTCGTAGGGATGCCCTTTGCTACGTTCGCAGCTTCTTTTGGAGTGTAGATGGGCTCAGCCTCAAACCTCACGTAGCCCACGGCCCATCACAGCCCCGAGGCGCGATGCCTCCAGGAGCTCAGGCGCGCACGGCGCGAATGCACTGGATTGGTAGTCCGGAGGTCTCCGGTGCACGGGCACATAAAAGGACAAATATGCATCCGCGAATGATTTTCATTGTGTTTTTAGATGTCTCTATGATTCTCTATGTGTTTATCCATCCATCCATCCATCCAACCATCCATCCATCCATCCATCTATCTGTCTATCTCAAGAAGAGTGTTCTTATTTCACTTAAGAACTTGAACAGGGCAGTGATCGCCATGTTTGACTCTAGCTCGAGTACTCCTTGTTTCGCCAAGGAATGGCGAGCATGACATAGACAACACACCACTCTTGGCAGTAGGGGGACTGAAGTCCAAGAAGCTAGCCCCGTAGCGCTTTTGAGTTAGTTAAAGCATGGGTCAAGGTCAAGTGATGAACCTTCTGCAGATGTCCTCATGAACGCCTGAATATGATCTCAAACTCGTTTTCGAGCAGCCAGTGATGTGTACGTTCTAGACTTGCAACATGTTTTTCTTTGGGCAGCATATTTGATCTTTGGGGAGCAAAGAATGACACCCTGAGCCTTTTGGTTTTGTTTCATCCGGCTTCAGCCCCGACCGGTTGGGTCGCTTGGAGAGCTCATCCCAACTCTCCTCGAAGATGAGAAGTTTTTCCACTTCACCTGCAATGGCCTCCAACCTATATAAGAGCGATGGCCTCCCACAAGCAATGGCCTCCAACCTAATAGCCATGCGATGGCCTCCAACCTACTAGCGATGGCCTCAAACCTACTAGCGATGGCTTCCAACCTACTAGCAATGGCCTCCAACCTAATAGCCATGGCTCCCAACCTACTAGCAATGGCAGCCAACCTAATAGCCATGGCTTCCAACCAACTAACTAGCGATGGCCTCCAACCTAATAGCCATGGCCTCCAACCTAGTAGCGATGGCCTCCAACCTAATAGCCATGGCCTCCAACCTAGTCGCGATGGCCTCCAACCTAATAGCGATGGCCTCCAACCTACTAGCGATGGCCTCCAACCTACTAGCAATGGTCTCCAACCTAACAGCCATGGCCTCCAACCTAGTCGCGATGGCCTCCAACCTAATAGCGATGGCCTCCAACCTACTAGCGATGGCCTCCAACCTACTAGCGATGGCCTCCAACCTAGTAGCCATGGCCTCCAACCTAGTAGCGATGGCCTCCAACCTACTAGCGATGGCCTCCAACCTACTAGCGATGGCCTTCAACCTACTAGCAATGGCCTCCAAAGCGATGACCTCCAACCTAATAGCGATGCTAATAGCCATGGCCTCCAACCTAATAGATGGCCTCCAACCTATTAGCGATGTCCTCCAACATAATAGCGATGGCCTCCAACCTAATAGCGATGGCCTCCAACCTACTATAGCGATGGCCTCCAACAAAAATTGTGATGGCCTCCAACCTACTAGCGATGTCCTCCAACAAAATTGTGATGGCCTCCAACCTAACAGGGATGGCCTCCAACCTAATAGCGACGGCCTCCAACCTAATAGCCATGGCCTCCAACCTAATAGCGAGGGCCTCCAACCTAATAGCGATGGCCTCCAACCTAATAGCGATGGCCTCCAACCTAATAGCGACGGCCTCCAACCTACTAGCGATGGCCTCCAACCCAATAGCGATGGCCTCCAACATAATAGCGATGGCCTCCAACCTAATAGCGATGGCCTCCAACCTACTAACGATGGCCTCCTACAAAATAGTGATGGCCTCCAACCTAATAGCGACGGCCTCCAACCTACACCCTTCTAGCGATGGCCTCCAACAAAATAGTGATGGCCTCCAACCTACTAGCGATGGCCTCCAACAAAATAGTGATGGCCTCCAACCTACTACCCATGGCCTGCAACAAAATGGTGATGGCCTCCAACCTACTAGCGATGGCCTCCAACAAAGTAGTGATGGCCTCCAAACTAATAGCGATGCCCCCCCGATGGCCTCCAACCTAATAGCGATGGCCTCCAACCTAATAGTGATGGCCTCCAACCTAATAGCGACGGCCTCCAACCTAATAGCGATGGCCTCCAACATAATAGAGATGGCCTCCAACCTCATAGTGACGGCCTCCAACCTAATAGCGATGGCCTCCAACCTACTAGCGATGGCCTCCAACCTAATGGTGATGGCTTCCAACCTACTAGCGATGGCCTCCAACAGAATAGTGATGGCCTCCAACCCAGACTAGCGATGGCCTCCAACAAAATAGTGATTGCCTCCAACCTAATAGCGATGGCCTTCAACCTACACCCTACTAGCGATGGCCTCCAACAAAATAGTGATGGCCTCCAACCGAATAGCGACGGCCTCCAACCTACACCCTACTAGCGATAGCCCCCAACAAAATAGTGATGGCCTCCAAGCTACTAGCGATGGCCTCCAACAAAATAGTGATGGCCTCCAACCTAATAGCGACGGCCTCCAACCTACACCCTTCTAGCGATGGCCTCCAACAAAATAGTGATGGCCTCCAACCTACTAGCGATGGCCTCCAACAAAATAGTGATGGCCTCCAACCTACTACCCATGGCCTGCAGCAAAATGGTGATGGCCTCCAACCTACTAGCGATGGCCTCCAACAAAATAGTGATGGCCTCCAACCTACCAGCGACGGCCTCCAACCTAATGCGCACACAGGATTAAGGAACCCCCCTCTATTAATCAAGCCCAGCTGGAGCCTCCAATAATAAACTAATTTGTACTCTGCAAACCTCCCTCTAATAATGACTTCCACCCCCCTATTAATCAAGCCCAGCCCCCCCAGACAAAAATATAAGTTGTTCTATTTTTATTGCGTTTTTCTTTTTTAGTATTCAATATCTTTTGGTCCATGGTGAAACTGATCTTCCAATCCACCCTTGTCTCATGCCATCTCTTTGAGGGATAGCGTTCTGATCCACCTTTTTCCCATGCTGATCCTCTCATCCATCAATCATTTCGGATCATTCTGCTTGCTCTTCTCATCCTTCCCAGCAGCAATCTGTGCAGCCAACCATCCCCCAAAACACCAAAAAACCTCCAGCAAAATTCTTTCATTTTCCCTTATTAAAACTCTATCAAAATCTTAAGGTTTTCAAGCTCACAAAGGGTACCCCTCACACAGGCCCTATCACCCCCTAATAGTAGGGACCCCTCCCCCCCATTAATCAAGCCCACCCTGTGGCCTCCATCGTTCTGATGTGGCTTCCAACTCTTCCAACCCTTTCATCCCAACTCTTCCAAATACTAATCCCCGTTCATCTCAATTCTTCCAAATACTCATTCCCTTTCATCCCAACTCTTCCAAATACTAATTCCCTTTCATCCCAACTCTTCCAAACACTAATTCCCTTTCATCTCAATTGTTCCAAAAACTAATTCCCTTTCATCTCAATTCTTCCAAATAAATACTTATTCCCTTTCATCCCAACTCTTCCAAATACTAATTCCCGTTCATCTCAATTCTTCCAAATACTAATTCCCTTTCATCCCAACTCTTCCAAATACTAATTCCCTTTCATCTCAATTCTTCCAGATACTAATTCCCGTTCATCTCAATTCTTCCAAATACTAATTCCCTTTCATCCCAACTCTTCCAAATACTAATTCCCATTCATCTCAATTCTTGCAAAAACTAATTCCCTTTCAGCCCAATTTGTCCAAATACTATCTGGTCAATCCTATCCGATCTCTTATCAAACTTGTGCCAATACACTCAGAGCTCTCATAGTTCTCATCGTTCAATCTCTCATGATACAGAATCCCATCAACCATCATCCATCATCAGGTCCAGGTCCTCATCTCATCATCCATCATCAGGTCATCATCTATATTAAGGGATGTGGTCTGCACCCAAACCTTGTTGACCTTGTTGACCTTGAAGGGGGGGAGGGTTGATTAATCTGGTGTGTGCATTAATAGCGAACGCCAACAAAAAACAATGCCGTTCCAACGAAGCCGAGGCGCTTGCTGGCGGCGCAACGCTTGGTGCCGTCGGAGTGGCGGAGCTGGGGCAACCCTTCCGCCTGAGAAAAACCAAGAGCACTGAGCCGTGGCGCGGTCCGAGCACCATGAAGCAGCGTTTGTTACTAGTAGCTACAGCGAGCAAGGAGCGGCTAACGTAGAGTGTTTTGGCATCTTGGATCTCCATGCTAGCTTGCTTCCTCCAAGAATGCTCCCTCTACTCTTGCGGTCTTTCTCCTTCTTTTTAGACTTCAGACCAGTCTTTTCTCTTAGTTTCCTATTTCTTTGCTTCCTTCCTTTGCTCAAAAGCATATTCGAACCAAAGTGTTTTTTTGGTTACACAAAAACTACACGCAGCTACTCCTGGCATCGCTACTAGGAACAAAGGGCATCGCCATCGCTACTAAGACTTGTCTCCAGGATTGAATCCAAAAGTCAGCTGCGCCGGGCGCCTTCTCAGGCGCTTCTCACCCGAAATGGCACCACGCGTTTGTTTTTTGTGGTGTGTCTCCTACCTACCCAGTCAGTGGTTGACCTTTGACCCTTTCTGGGGGAAGGTTAACCTAGTGGTTAACCTTTATGTCAGTGTCAAGGGAAACGGCTTGGGGGTCTCCTAAGTCATTTCGATGTTCGTTTGACGCCCGATTTGGAGCGTTCGTCTTGGCCCAGCGCGGCGCCAAGCCGGGGCGGGCGATGGATTTCGGAAGGCCTCCGAGTTCTGGGAAGCTTGGAAGAACTTAAGCCCCGGAAGGGACCCCAGTTGGGGGCCGATCGAGGATCCAATTCGGGTCAAGTGGGGGGGGGGCATTGGAAGAACATGGAGGAACTATGTGTTTGCTACTATTTTCTTCTTAGAGAAATCAAGATCCAACCTAGAAGCAATGGCCTCCAACCTAATGGAGATGGCCTCGTCAACTATTTGTTTGCTGTTTCCTTCCACTTAGAGAAGTCAAGATCCAACATTAGATGTCACATAATGACACGACTGTTTCAAATCATATGGAATCGCTTCACTTATGCTTGGCTTTTTTTGGGGTTGCACTGAGCGCATAGACAACTAAGAAAGACTTCGAAGAATGAGCGGCTTCACCGGTCCAGCAAGGGACGGCACTGTCCGAACAATGAACAAACATACAAAATAAGTTTTCATTTCACATCTTATACAGATACACTCCTGACTGCAGATTGGCGAGCTCAGATGCACGGTCAGCTTCCTGTCGAACACTCGAACGGGTCGGTGAAATCGACTCTGAACGTTTTTTTGTGATCCATGTGCAACACAAATGCCTTAAGCTTGCGGCAGCCAAACTGTCTGAAACAGGAAGGATCATTCTTGCAAGGTGTCACTTTGCCAAGATTCTTTGAGGGGAGACGCACTTGTGGTATCTTGTGGTAATTTAAGTGATTGGCATTGTTTTTGGAGCCTTGAGGCGGCAGCTGCCCTGATGGGGCAAACGGATGCAAACGGCAAATGAGAGCCATTGCCAACAAAGCAATGCGAGTCTTTGGATCTTTCAATTATTGTAAAGGACAGAACAGTCCCTGTGGCTTTTGAGCCGGGCTCGCTACTCCAGAGGTTTTGGCCCACAACTGGAACCATGTCTTTGTTGTTCCGGTGTAACAAAGAACCCAATTTGAGGACTGGAGAAGTGTGCTTGGAAATGTGCCTCACCAGAATGCATGAGCGCAGGGGTCGTGGTATCACCGTGCAAGACTAATGTGTGTTTTGAGAGTGGAGCCTCACCTAGACAGTTGGTGTGAACATCAAGGAAACGTTCAGAACCCGGAAAACTCACCACATGCACACAGAATCTCCCAGCATCACTCCATCTTTGCCTCCCAGCCCCTTAGGAATGCTCCGAAGTGGGCTCTTTGCTCAGATCCCTGGCGACGATTCCGATGCAGAGGCGGGGCAAAGCGGCGCCAGGCATGCGATCTATACCCGATTCTTTTTTTGATGGTTGACTCATGGCCTACAAAGAAAACACCACAGAAACGTCGTTTCTTTGTGACAATGGTAGAAGCATGTATAAACCATGCATCACAAAACGTTTCTTAGGCGTTTTCTTTGTGCATGTTTCTGCCGCCTATGCGGCCCGTGGCTAGGCCGAGAGCGAGGAGGAGAAGCCGAGCACTGCAGAGGTGCTCCAGCGTGTGAAGAGCGTGCTGGGTGAGAGGCCGCCGCGCAAGCCGTGTTCGGCGCCGAACGCGGTCGCCGCGTATCAGTCGTACTTTAATGAACCGCACTTGGGCTCATCCAACCTAATAGCGATGGCGATGCCCTCCAACCTAACACTCCTTTCTGTGATGATGTGGAGCACGTGAGCAAAGGTTTGATGTGGATTGGGACTGGAATTGAAGGTAGAGACTGGCCCTCCCAAGTGATGGCCACCGCAAACACACACTTTAGCAGACATTTAATGTAGAGTTTAACTTAGTGATGGGCTCCCGTCATTGCCTTCAAAGACGTCCAGTTTGTTGCCAGGTTTGTGTACATGGATTGCAGAAACGATCAATTAGTCTTTCCCAACAAAAGATCAAAAAGGATGTGAGTGTGAACTGGAATCAGATACCCCCCAACCAATTTGTCTATTTCCCTTCTTCCATGTTTTATTCCAAGGTCTCCCCTCCCTATGTTTAAGCCACACCCAATCTGCGAGGTCTTCCTCTTGTTCCAGCTATCAGATGCTATCAGTTGGTTCTACCCACCCACCGTCGATTTCTGCAAAACAGGTGGCAAGAAGTGCCCTTCATGGACCTGGTACCCGCTCCACAGCAGCGCTTAAGTTGGGGAAACAAAACCGCACGCGCCGTGAGACGACCCCACAGATCACGTCGAGTCCAATGGAGTCAAGATCACCCCATGGAGTCTGTGACCATGTCAGACCCTCTTCGAAAGTGTTGCAACGATGCTTACGCTGGACGAGGGAACGAAGCACGGACTCGGTTCCCACGATCGGTGAAAGAGAGCAGAGCAAGTGACCTGAGGTGACCTGAAGTTCTGATTGTTTTACGGCACCGACTGCAGAAGACCTTGTCAATGTACCAGCCTCCTCAATAGTGGGCTAAAAGGCATGAGAAGTATGCGACGTGGAATGTGGTCCAGCAAGCTCCTTCACCGATTCCGTTGCCAAAACGGGTTTTCTATGTACAACATTGTACAACGGTGACTTCGTTACTTGGGCAAGTGCAGGAGCAAGCTGGTCGTGGTACGGTACGGCTGCCAGATCTATATTTATTCATAGTTGCATGTTCCAGCTTCAACACATCCATGTTTATAGACAACGTATTGCATCAGCTCACCACATACACGACTCTGCATGTACCAGTTCTTCTACCATTTTGTGTACTTTCCGGGTTGGTGCATGACGACGACGCACAATCAGGTGTGATGGCCTCCAACCTACTAGCAATGGCCTCCAACATAAGAGCGGCCTCCCACCTACTAGCAAAGGCCTCCAACATAGGTGCTATGGCCAGCAATGGCTTCCAACCTAAGAGCGATGGCCTCCAAACTACTAGCAATGGCCTCCAACATAAACGCTATGGCCTCCCACCTACTAGCAATGGCCTCCAACATAAGAGCGATGGCCTCCCACCTACTAGCAATGGCCTCCAACCTAAGAG